ATGTATGATTTCTACTACAACGAGCTGAAAAGCAGTACGGCGACAGGTGCGAAGTGCTGTACACGGACACAGATTCCCTGTTGATGGAAATTCACACAGAGAAGGTGTATGAGGACATAAAGAAACACATGCACCTGTACGACATCAGACAAGTCAACAAAAGTGCTCTCGCAAGATGAAGGACGAATGCGCGGGCATGCCGATCGCCGAGTTTGTCGGCTTGAGACCCAAGATGTATTGCATTAAGAAAGCCGACGACGATTAAATCCGAAAGACAAAAGCGCTTCAAAAACACGTGGTGAAAAAACACATCAAGCACACCAGATTCAACAAGACCTCGCTGTCTCCCATGGACACGAAACGATGGATCGCCATCGACGGAGTCACCACTTACGCACATGGGCACAAACGCCGTGATCGAATAATTGAACGCTTTACGCACACATGCGCGCATACATCATGGAGAAAATTTATACCAGCCCGTGAGGGTTCTGGAAAGGCACGGAAGAGAAAGCCAAAGCCTGGCTTAAAAAACAAGCCATCTGGCAAGTCTACCTGCCGGTGCCCCGATACATCCCGAGAAGAAAATTCGACATTTCAACGCCGAATCGCGTCCACTAAAGCCGACGTCCACGACAGGGTGAGGCGCAAAACCTACAAGTACACCCTGACCGTCGTTGACGCTGCCAGTCACTACAAGGAAGCCGAACCGTTGACAACGAAAGATTCGAACAAAGTCGCCAAAGCCTTTGAAAGCATATACAAACGCAGTCGCTTGACATGGCCTACTGTATTGCAAGTCGATCCCGGACATGAGTTCATGGGAGCCGTGTCGCAGCTGCTGGCCAAGCACAAAGTCCAAGTGAGACGAGGTATAACGGGAGCTCACCGTAGCCATGCCATCGTTGACAGATTCAATCGCACCCTAGCCGAACGCCTGTTCTTGCACCAATACTCGCAGGATTTAATGGATCCCGGAAACAGAAACACGGATTGGGTCGTACGCTTAGCGCGAGTGGTGGATGTCATCAACAACAAAGTCACCAGACTCATGGGCAAGAGACCCGTCAGAGCCATCAAAATGAAATCTGTCGAATCGTCGTCGGCAGCAGCACGTAGGATAATGCAGAGAAAACATTACCGGACCGGGTCAGCGTTAGTACTTGTACCAGCCAGGAGAATACGAGGGATACAGGAGAAAACGTGCCACCGATCCGATATGGTCCATGAAAACGTACAATGTAGACCTTGTCGATATCAAAGATGGCGAACCGAAACTGTACAACTTGAAAGACGGACCACCGAGAGCATTCGTCAGAGAGGAGTTGATGATCGTACCTCTCGACACAGTCCTTACACATCACCCACCGTGTGATGATAGTTTCTCGTCATGATTTTATCAGTCTTGCATGCCTATTTTCTGCTTAATGTAGCCAGCCAGCCAGCCACCCGTACACCAAGCCGGAGAGACACACGCACACGCACTGCGACTCGTCCGCCAACAGCGCTCGGAGGAGCAACCACCCCGAGGCGACCCGAGCCTTTTCCCGACTGACCTCATATGCTCACTTTAAAGTCAATATTTCAGAAACTATTCAACCGATTTTCATCAAATTTTGCATGCACCTTAGTAGTAGTATACACAATGGGTCTACGGGATTAGGGACTTCCCAAGGGCTCCATTGAGCTCCATTGAGCCCTTGGGAGGGACCTGGTCCCATAGCCTCATTGTGTATACTACTACCTGTTACTCACCCAGTTTGTGTTAAAAAGTTTCCCGTTACTCGATGTGGCACAACAATACTGCCGACTCATGCACACAGCCAAAGTATCCATAACATAATACCGAGTATCCGAACTGAAAACTTACAGGAAATCTTTAATTGATTTATTGGCCAATTTTCTCCAAAGACTCAGAACTTCCATGTTTTATCCACTTTAGTATGATAATTATCATTGCTTTGAGATTTTGCTCAGATAAAACATCACTTACCAGCGGAAAATACAATTAGAGTATTCGCTAGCTGGCCAGAAGACTTGAGAGCTGCAGTGACATTTCCGATCCCCTCATCCATACATGTGGACATGCCTGGAAGTTGAAAATACCAAAATCAGGTAAGCGACAATATCTTACCCCTTCCGAAAAGATCTATAAGGTTAATATGCTTGTTTAGATATTCCATTTTATCCCTAACGCTCTCATTTCAATAGTGGTCTTCATTGCCGACTGTGTTCGTTTGCCAAAAGAGGCAACTCTGGTCATACTTTACAATTATGACAAGTAGACCTGTCTCCCCTTAAATCAAGGTCGGAAAAGGTTCTACAGACCCTTGATATGGATAATACTGATAGCAATATGGTATAAAACATTGTCAGTTATGTACAGATAGGGCACCCAAGGATTTCATATGCTGTAGTCATGTATAGTTGCAAAGGTGAATTAAGGTTTGTGTGTTGTTTAACACCGCACTCACCAATATTCCAACCATATGGTGGCAGAATTAAGGAACATAGTGTGGTATATAGTGACTATAGTGTTCTCTTGTCACGTTGATCACTTGGATTCATTATTTGTTTCGTCCCCACCATGGGTACAATGAGTGAATCCGTTTCTGGTGTCCCTTGCCATGATATAGCTGAAATATTGCTCTCATAGCCAAGAACCAAAATTACACTGTGCGATTAGAAATGGGCTGACGATGTTATTAATTAACAGTAATTATATTACCAGCAAAGGTTCGCCTTTTCGTGTCGTTGATGTGGCTGTACTGATTCATGTATTGGCTGGGGACCTGGAGGGGAGTGTGTGTAGATTGATACGCCAGGTACAAGAAGAATGGCTGCAAACAAACAACAAAATCATATATGACGAAACAAAACTCAGTGACTGGTTTTATGCTGATTTTAGCAATATTGTTTCAAGAACATCATGACAGGGGACACCAGAAATGGGATTCACACCTTGTAGCCATGTGGGGAATCGGACTCTTTGGGTCTTTGTCGTGGCAATGCTTAAACCACTAGACTACCCCGCAGCTCGAGACAAAACGAAAAATATCACAAAGTAAACACCGATACACTGACAATGGAACTGTATACAAGGTCACTACATGCAGACTGTCACATTGATTTCAATATTTACAGTAACAACTACATGAAACATTCTCGAGGGAATCTGCACCTACCTTCGACTTGTCATGCTTCTGGATGATATCAATTGCCTTCTCCGTAAACAGATGCGTTGAATAGTGACCATTCTCGGTGAACACTGGCTTTGTATTGTCAAGTAAGTCAAGGCCACATAATGAGGGATTGTTAAAGTCACAATGGCTGTGTGTGTAATAGTCCTCGGCGCCTGCCAGGTAGCCTGCAAATTACGACAATACGGTATGTAAAGAGGTAACTGGAATTAAAAGCATGACTCATCTAAATACGAAAAATCTTTGAAATGTTTAGACAAATAATGCGCATGTGCCATTGGTAGCATAATCCTGTGTATTACTCCCTTCATTCTATGAGTCAGCGAGTTTAGTCTACGCTGCTTTCAACAATATTCCAGCAATATCATGGCGGACTACACCATGAATTGACTTCAAAGGTTGAACCCATGTGGGGAATCGAACCTGGGTCCCGGCATGACGTGAACGCTTGAACCACTAGGATACCCAACCGGACATGTATATCACAGTTGTGGATTGGACATAATGTATTGACTAACATACAAGATAGTAAAATAGTTATATTGAATGAAAATACCCGACCGAGGATGATAACACGTGAGTGAATTTTCACTGTCTCAGAAATCTCTCAGGCTGTTAATTTTTTAACTTTAAAATTTGAGGATGAGGACTTGAGGATGAACATTTTCCTCAGAGAAAACAAAGATTAAGCCCTGTTCTGCATTGCATGAAATACTATCTCACACATGGTCTATGATATAATACTGCTCAGCATTTATTAATTGTCTTATTCCCATAGGTCATAGACTGCAGTCTATGCAGTCTTTTGAGCATTCTTAGTCAAGTTTGCAAATCTGATGAATTTTTAGGCAGCTTGGAAAATATAATCCTTTGATTATCATTAGCCCCCAAAGATTTGATAAAGTTTACTTCAAGATTTCGGGTAATGGCAGTTTTGTTTCCATATTTCGTTGATGCTATCAATAATTAAGATTGGTGGCTGCATTGGCAATATTGCAGCCGTTGAGTGATAACATCTATCTCCTATCAGCACCAACAGTTTAGGGACTTGAAGGTCCAGGGTACTTATTTTCGAAACGTTAGCCCTACGAACTTCTTAAGCCTATTCTTAATACATTGGCTACGATCAAAGTTAAGACTTTTTAGGGTTACGAACGTTTCGAAAATACGGGCCCCAGTTAGGATTGATCTGCAACAACCCAGGCTTGTTGTTAAAGGGTAATCAGGTTCGCTGACGTGGTTGACACAAGTCATCGTATCCCAATTGCATAGGTCGATGCTCATTGTTTCAGTGGGGGTTTCTCCAGTACAAAGACACAATATAGACTTGGTACTTCATCGGTTTACTGTCATGCTTTTGTACAACCGGAACACGTGGACTGCGCCTCGCACATGCATGATGAGTCAAGCGTTATGCACTAACTTTCACGTTGTTGGGGGTGCTTATGACCACAATACATGCAGTTGTATTTGAGACTGTGTTACCCTTGGGTTTGACTGAGTGTTTATGCACGGCGTGAACCTGAATGTCCTCTTTGGCACTCATAGCTCTAACTTGTGCTGCAGTAGATTCTGCTGCTCGACATATATTGATGCACTGTTTTAGCGTCAATTTGGATTGCTGGAGTAGCTTTCTTCTAGTAGCATTGTCATTGATTCCACAACCAATTCGATCTCTAATTAGATCATCTTGGAGATCACGAAAGTCACATGTGGAGGCCATGGTTCTCAGCTTGTTAGCATATGGATCTATGTTTTCACCCTCTTGTTGCTTATTAAAGGTGTATCTCTCATATATGACATTAGTCTCTCCCATACAGTGTCTCTCCATGAGAGTCAAGTCAAGTCGTACAGAGTGTTGTTGACCGCTCCTTCGGTATCGACGAAATCGCCTAGGTCGTTGCCACCACCACCAGCGGCAGATTGCTGTGTTGGCGCATTTTCTAACCCATGTTCCTGGACCATGAGACTCTGTCATTGCCGTATGTGCAGCGTCGTGCTGAGATACCCTATACTTACGGGATCTTGTTTAACGTCTAAAACCGATATTTCCGTGATGTTGCCTCGGATTAATTTCTTGTAATGACGCGATGTAAACGATTCGGTTCTGCCATCGTTGTACTTTTCCGTTTTCACCAGCATGGCTCTCAGCAGTGTGGAAGGTCGTTCGCCTTGAACGTTGTCGGTCATACTCAGCTGATCGAGATGAATGCACAGTTCCTGATACGGAACGAGATTGGGTAATTTCGTGCCGGTCACGGTGGTTTCCGGTTGTATGTCGTTCGACTTAAACCCGAGCGTTTTAGCCAACGACCGACTGAGTCTCAAGTCGTTTTTACCGTTGTTGGATAACATGACCGTGCCGTTCGAGTCGTTCATTTTTAGTTCGGCTCCCACGGGTTTGAAGATTTCTTCGTTGAGCGAGCACATGCTGTAGTAGCCGTCTGTTTTTTGGTTGCATCCGAACAGCCTGTTGTTTTTGTCGTTGATGTTCGTCCATCGCGGGTAGTAGGTGATATCGCAGAGCGCAACTTGGAGCTGACCAGACGTGTTATCGATCGCGTGCAGCAGTTGAACAGGCTCGCCGCTCGTGATTCCCGGAAGTGTCACGTACATATTGAAAAGTAGATATGTATACTAAAATATAGCAATTCAAATATGTACTAACCGGGAGTGTTTTATTCTAAAAGTGATAACATAAGTGCTACCTATCTCACGCAACCAAGTATTGTGGTCGATGCAAAGGATGGTTTACATTTCATGGTTCGGTTCATCGACGTGTTTAAAAATTATGGGTTTTCGGTCACAAATGTGAAAACAGTACACTCTTGGTTCCACAACCCGATGCAGTTCTGGCAGAAGTCAATTCAATTTCGCCGTGTGGTGCGCGACGACCAGGTGCGGCGTGACGTTGAACGACACTCGTCGTGATGAGCTGAGTCGGTCTGTATTCTCGTTTCATGTGTACTACCAGATCAGACGTATCCTGAAAGAAATCAGTGCCCCGATTCCGCAGGACAAGGTGTGGAATGCCGTAAACAATCCATACGATTGACGTGCGTATGAACGCGTTTGCGGTGAATTCGAACTAGATCCGAAGTCAGTCGATTGGCGTTTCACGGTTTGGGCATTCCCATTGTTCACAACATGTATCTCGCGGAAGCCATCAAACAGCTGGTGAAAGATTGGGGTTACAAGTCGTATCAATATGTCAAGACGAACGAGTGGAACGACGATTACATGGCTTTCGACGACAGCAAGGATTACTGCGCATTTGGAGGTTTGAGCAGGGACCCATGGATGATTGGAAAATGTTCATGCTGGACACTTCGAAAGGGTTGACTCGTGCCAGTGTTGTCAGATTGAACGATTCGATTCGAACGTACGTGTGGGCCGTGCTGGGCGCTCAGACGCAAACACGTTCCAGCATCGTTGGTCGTGAAAGGACTGCTTACGACGCACAGAACGAACTCATCTCAGAACGAGACTATCTCAACGAATGCAACCGACTCCTCAGAATAAAAATCTAACATGCATCACGAAAATCGCTTTTTTTAAAAAGTCGGTTGAAAGTTATAACTATCCAACATATTGACGGGTATGCTAACATTTAACAGCGAGACATACTTCGCACACCAAGAAACTACTAGAGATTTTGACTCGTAGCTCAACATAGCGACTTCACACCTGACTATAGCGAACAACCTATTAGAGATTTGATTTCGCATCTGAATATAATTAATTTTTCATTTAGAAAAAGGTTTTCACACATTGATATAGCAACGACGATTACCGTTCGAGAACTGAAAAGGATTGCCAAAAAACGCGGAGTGACTGCTTACGACGCACAGAACGAACTCATCTCAGAACGAGACTATCTCAACGAACGCAACCGACTCCTCAGAATAAAAATCTAACATGCATCACGAAAATCGCTTTTTTAAAAGTTGGTTGAAAGTTATACTATCCAACATATTGACGGGTATGCTAACATTTAACAGCGAGACATACTTCGCACACCAAGAAACTACTAGAGATTTTGACTCGTAGCTCAACATAGCGACTTCACACCTGACTATAGCGAACAACCTATTAGATATTTGATTTCGCATCTGAATATAATTATGTTTTCATTTAGAAAAAGGTTTTTACACATTGATATAGCAACGACGATTACCGTTCGAGAACTGAAAAGGATTGCCAAAAAACGCGGAGTGATCGGTTACTCCCGTTTGAGAAAACCTCTGCTGCTGAGCACCTCGTTTGCAAAAATACGAGAATCCCTGGAACGCTACACGCACATGGGCTCGGGCTGGGTCGTGGACACGATCGACACGGTCTACCTGGATGTAGCGAACTACGTGCCATTTAAAGAAGGGTCGTACATAGACTTGCCACCGTACTACAAGAAAAAGCAAGCCATGGTCAACGTCAAAAACAAAGGCGATGATTGCATGAGGGTTGCGATCAAATCCACGAAGTTTCCGGTCAAAGCACATTCAGACAGACTTTCGAGCTATCCCGAAGACGATGGGATAAACTGGGACAGCATAGACGAACCCACCCCCATCTCCCAGGTCACCAAAATCGAAAAACAGAACGACGACATAGCCATCAATATCTTCGGACACGAAGGGAATAAAACGATCGTGCATAGGATCAGCTCCCTCACAAACGAACACTGCAAGACGATCAATATATTCATGTTCCAGCAAGGCGACAAGTATCACTACACGCAGATAAAATATTTCAACAGACTGTTGTACGATCAATCGAAGCATAAGGAAAAGAAACACTTCTGTGAAAGGTGCCTGCACGGCTTCACGCGAGCCGACCTGCTGGAATCCCACCGGGAGGATTGCTGAGGCATGGGAGAGAAGGCCATCCAAACAGACATGCCCGACGAAAAGAAAAACACGCTAAAATTCTTCAACCACAAACATCAATTGCCCGTGCCCTACGTCATCTACGCCAACTTCGAAGCCCTCATCAAAACCGTCAACACTGTCGCGCCGTCGTCCCTGGAAAAAAGTTCCACGCATAAAACGGAAGAACACAAAGCCTGCATGTTCGGTTACATGGTCGTTGATCCGACAGTGAAACAAATGCTCCCGTGGTCTTCCGAGGTCCCGACGCAGCCAAACGATTTCTCACGTGTTTGCAAAACGAAGAGAAAATCATCAGGAAACAGTTGTACACCATCGTCCCTTGCGTATGACCCAAGACGACTGGCGAACTCATAAGAAAGCTAAGAATTGCCACGTGTGCGACGAACCCCTGAACGGGGATGTCATGAGAGATCACTGCCACATCACCGGCAAGTACAGAGGTGCCGCTCACAACGCGTGCAACTTGAAGCTCAAAATCAATCCCAAGATCATCAAAATTCCCGTCTTGTTTCACAATCTTCGCGGTTACGATTCTCACCTGATAATGCAGGCCATCGCGAAGGTCGACGGCAACATAACGTGCATCCCCAACAACATGGAAAAATAGATCTCGTTCTCGTTAGACGGTCTGAGATTTATTGATAGCGTTCAGTTCCTGCTGTCGTCTCTAGACAGTCTGGTGAACGCCAACGACCCGGACGATTTCGACATAACCAATCGATACACCGACGTCGAGACTCAACCTCTGCTGCTGAGGAAGGGCGTCTACCCCTACGAGTACATGAACGATTGGTCTCAGTTTGAGGAGACGTGATTACCTCCCAACGACCGCTTTTACAGCAACTTGACCGATTCCAATATCTCTCAGGACGCTACGCGCACGCGATTAACATGTGGGACAAACTGGGCTGCAAGAAACTGTGCGATTACCATGACCTGTACTTGAAAATGGAAGTACTGCTGCTGGCCAACGTGTTCGAGATATTCAGAAAAACGTGCTCGAAACAGTACGGCCTGGACCCCACGGTCTCTCTTGGGACGCCTTGTTGAAAAAGACCGGCGTGGAGCTGAAACTACTGACGGATTACGACATGCACCTGTTCGTGGAAAAAGGCTCGCGAGGTGGGATTTCCATGGCATCCAAATGATACGCCAAAGCAAACAACAAGTACGTTCCGGGTCACGACCCCGGCAAACCGACCAAACACATACTCTATCTCGACGCCAAGAACCTGTACGTCTGGGCCATGAGTCAGTATCTCCCCACCGGGGATTTGAATGGGTCTCCTAACCCGAGATGATTGACGTGAATAGCATCGCGCCGGATTCGAACAAAGGCTACGTTGTCGAAGTGGACTTGGACTATGCCGCAGAACTACACGAATCGCACAACAGCTATCCGCTAGCTACCTAACGATTGACGGTGAACCCGGACTGGATGTCCGAATATCAACGAAACATGCTGTTAAACAATAAGCTGGCTAACTTTGACAAACTCGTGCCGAACTTGATGAACAAGTCAAAATACGTCGTTCACTATCGCAATCTGCAGCTGTACTTGTCGCTGGGAATGAAATTTACGAAAATACACAGGGTGCTCCAGTTCGATCAAAGTCCATGGATGGAACCTTACATTCGGTTGAACACGAATCTGCGAAAATAAGCCACGAGCGATTTCGAAAAACTTGTACAAGCTCATGAACAACTTGGTGTTAGGCAAGACGATGGAGAATTTGAGAAAACGTGTTAACATGAAATTAGTCAGATCCGGCGAGAAAGAAAAACTCAGGAAACTCATAGCCAGCCAGGCGTTTAACTGAAGCAAGATATTCAACGACGACTTGGCAGCGTTGCACATGAACAAAAGCCACATCAAATTCAACCGGCCCGTTTACGTGGGGATGAGCATCCTCGACTTATCCAAACACTTGATGTACGATTTCTACTACAATGAGCTGAAAAAGCAGTACGGCGACAGGTTCGAAGTGCTGTACACGAACACAGATTCCCGGCTGATGGAAATTCACACCGAACGTGTATGAGGATATGAAGAAACACATGCACCTGTATGACACCAGCGACTACCCTAAAGATCACCCTATGCACAGCCAAGTCAACGAAAAAGTGCTCGGCAAGATGAAGGAAGAATGCGCGGGCACGCCTTTGAACACATATACAAATGCAGTCGCTTGACATGGCCTACCGTATTGCAAGTCGATCCCGGACATGAGTTCATGGGAGCCGTGTCACAACTGCTGGCCAAGCACAAAGTCCAAGTGAGACGAGGTATAGCGGGAGCTCACCGTAGCCAAGCCATCGTTGAGAGATTCAATCGCACCCTAGCTGAAAGCCTGTTCTCGCACCAATACTCGCAAGATTTGATGGATCCCGGAAACAGAAACACGAAATGGGTCGTACTCTTAGCGCGAGTGGTGGATGCCATCAACAACGAAGTCACCAGACTCATGGGCAAGAGACCCGTCGGAGCCATCAAAATGAAATCTGTCGAATCGTCGTCGGCAGCAGCACGTCGCAATAAAACAGAGAAAGCATTACCGGACCGGGTCAGCATAAGGTACTTGTACCAGCCAGGAGAATGCAAGGGAGACAGGAAAAAACGAGCCACCGATCCGATATGGTCCATGGAAACGTACAATGTAGACCTTGTCGACATCAAAGACGGTGAACTGAACTTGTACTACTTGAAAGACGGACCGCCGAGAGCATTCGTCAGAGAGGAGTTGATGATGGACTTTTTTAGTTGAGCCCTTGGGAGGGACCTGGTTCCGCAGCCCCATTGTGTATACTACTTCTTTCCTGTCATTTTCTGATTCAAATGGTAGACCATTGAAAACTTCTAGAGCTACTGGGCCAATATAGGTTATGAAAGCTGCTAACCTATATCTATGGTTCTTCTGATCAATTCCTGCCATTGTTTCAAAAGAGTCCCACACTTGTTTCCATAATTTCCAATTATGAGCCAAATTCCCCTTCATTTCAAGTCTAGGAGGAGCGGGGATTCTCCCTTGAAAGGGTACAGTATGAACAACGAGTGGAGGATCCCCTTGCTCACCTTCGTTAGACATATCGACAACTGACAGTACCTGAGACTAGCGGTGTGTCACAAGTGAAGAACGTTCGGCGAGCGAGAGCGTGCCTTTGAAGAATATTGAGGCAAATAGAGAAGAGAGTCAAATAAACGAGCATGTGCCTGTTACTGTGTCACATCCGCATCCCACTTCTGACACCATATTTCAGTGGGGGTTTCTCCAGTACAAGAGACACAATATAGACTTGGTACTTCATCGGTTTACTGTCATGCTTTTGTACAACCGGAACACGTGGACTGCGCCTCGCGCATGCGTGATGAGTCGAGCGTGATGCACTAACATAGTGGTGCACTAAGGTAATAATTCTACTATCGCAACACTCATGATGTCGATAACTCTATTATCTGGTCGAGAGTCGTCATATAGCTGGGCCATTGCTGAGTGTGGCGTTAAACAAAACAAGCATCTTTCCTTACCATAGAATGAATCAAATCCCCTGTTGGTAGGCAAGTATGCATTTTGTAGAACCCAAGATGCCATTTGCCGACAGCATAGGTTGAATACCCTGCCTCTTTGATCTTGTCTGCAATTGTGGCGCTACCTAGCGGCAGAGCACTGGGCTGGGAAGACAGGAAGACGAAATGTTGTAAACCAGTATGAATCTGAAATGGAAACAGATAAAGGTCATTACGGTGTTTTACAGACACAAAATAGAAAAGGACACATTAAAAATGTAATTGATCCAAAGATTGCACATACTTTGAAAACAAACGTTAGCAGTAAAATGTTGAAAACATTCCCTGACTCACTGACGACTCTGTGTCGTAAAAGGCGACGAACTGCATCGGGTGGAACAGGACTTTTTCGGATAATAAAAACAACTAATGTTTGGAATTCCTTGTCAGATGTCTTCACCGAATCACAAAATTTTGATTCAAACAAACAAAATCTGATCTATGATCACCATGATAAGCGTAGGGCATCACACATATGATATATTATATTTGCTACTAGTTTAGTGGTAACCCGTGAGGACATATGTTTGGCGACAAACGGGATCGGGTGGTTAGGTTCGCTGATTTACCTGGCACATGCCATCGTATCTAAACTGAGAAGATCGATCCTCATGATGCGATGTGTAGTCTATACTGGAAAGTGTATCCCTGACTCACCTGGTACCTCCCGGACATAAACTGTGCCCGTGAGGGGGTGCAGAGTGGCTGGACATAGTAGTTTTCGAGCTTTACTCCACCTGCAGCCAGCTGGTCAAGGACTGGTGTTTTAATGTCCGAGTTGTGGTACCCGACATCATGGTACCCGTAATCATCGGCGAAGATGAAAATTATGTTTGGCTTCGCTGAAACAGCAGTGCAACATGCACAAAGTAGCAACAGTACTGCACGATGCATGGTTGTCACGAAACACCCCAGGTGCAAATGTGTCGAGTTCCCACATTTTATCAGTCTTTTGTAGCGGGTCACTTGGGATGACGCAACAGTTTTGATCATGTGACTTGAGCGAACTCCATAGCAGTGCTACGAAACATGTACTGTGTAATGAGTGAGGCAAACATTCGCTCGCACCTTTCCGTAACCTACAAGACGACTTGTCACTATGACATCACAAAGTTGATAGCCAACAGAATTCATGAATATGTCATGCCTGCATTTGATAAGTAAATATAGATGTGTAAGAAAGTGTAAGTATCCAATTGGAAATGGGTAGCGATATAGGTAGGGTTGTTCAAACAAGACAGGCACGAATTCATGGATATGTCATGCCTGTATTTGAGGTCTAGATGTCACGAATTACCTTAGGTACATAATCCAATTTGTACACTCCAGCTGAAAGTCATCATCCCACGTTGTCAGTACATTGTATTAATATTGCTTATGACAACCATGTTAATATGTACACCATTATGTCATAATGTGCATATTTACGTTCATATCATAAGGGCTGTTGATAATCATGATAATTTTGTTTGTGACACTTACATACAAAAAACCCGTCTACTGAGTCAGTGAGCACATGTGTGCATTTACATGCTTATCAATGATTTTATGTAATTCTGATATGCAATAGTACAAACACACATGTGACAAGGGGTGTAATAACCAGACCCATATCTGATAGCTGATATAGCGTGTAAATGCACTTTTAAATGTTTGAACGATATCAGCAACGAAATTGGAGTCACGTGCCCCAGTGGCTAGTTTTCCAATGAATGACTATGCCTCAAGTTTTAAACAGGGGGAAAACGCATTCAAAAATATAAAAGTCTCAATTGTGGCAGTTTCTCTTGTCATACTCTGTATCAACCCTCAATCCCCATATCACCTTTATCAGATCGGCTTATATGTGGGTCTTACCTCTGCCACTGAAATGAAGTAGGAAAACAATCGGTTACAATGATAAACATGGTACATGCCGGTTCGATACATTCGTGGAATTTTCACGTGAAACAAATATTAGATGCCAAATGACAGATAGGTAATAACAAAATCTTCAAAGCACGTCTTATTATTCAACATGTTTAAAGTAAAACAGTAGAAAAACATATATTCCAAACTTGTATAGTTGTACCTCTTATACTGAGTATCCCGGCTTGAGTGTAATGGACGTTATGTACTGTTCTGTTCTGTGTAAAACAATGAGATTATGTCTCTGTTGGTTGTTAATGTCATCAGTAACACATCCAACTTATAAATGCCAAGCAGAGGTCTTGATTCTCCTGGCTGATGTCTCGACAGATCTTGCAACGAAATGAGAAGAGTAAATGTTATATACACATGGAAAAAATATTGCAATACCATGAATTTTAACCCTCATATAGCCATTTAGATTCATGTCATAATTATGTTAGTTTCTATCATTAATTTGACTCTCCGGGTGCACCATACATTGACGTTAGATGTGCACGTGCTACGATCAAAGGCGAGCATCACGTGCAATACGTGTTCCCATCATTAAATGAATGTTCAGTGAACTCTTCTTACAGATCAATAACATGGAAAATCAATTGATGTCGTTGTTGATAAGCCAATATGGGGCCAAGTGACAGTTGCTCAAAGATGGCAAGTTATTGGTATGTACAATGCTGGAGTGCCATTGAAGACTATTACATAAACGCTTCTGAGATGGTTATCATCTGAAGCCTAGCAGTTAAAGCGTTCGCACGCCACGGCGAAGGCTCGGGGTCGATTCCCCACATGGGTACAATGTGAAGCCATTTCTAGAGTCCCCAGCAGTGATATTGTTGGAATATTGCCCAAAGTGGCATAAAACTAAACTCACTGAATATATGCAGTTGCATCGTCGGTCGGACAGTGAAAATAATTAGTATAGTCCCAACTGAAACCTGTTTCTAAGGCAGTGCCATCACTTCATCGCTATGCGTGAAAAAGAAAGCTTCAATGCGCAGCATGGAATCAAGTTTGGCATTTTAAAAACAATTTGAACTATACTCGTTTTAATTCATTCCCTGTTCAACACCTAAACCAGGCATTTTACTACAATGCAATATTTTTACATATTATATTAGATAAACGGGGAATATACACAGCAAAATATGAAGAGCAATATGCAACAAGGCCCCTTCGCCTTCTAGAACCCCGTGGAATACGAGCTGGTCTCACCATCACTTATTCAACAAATTACTGAACGACTAACAACATACACAGTGACAGATAATGTTAGAAACACGTATATCAAAACTGAATATAGTTACAGACACTCATAGGCAAAATTACAAATGTATGGCCGTTTCACTTGTATTTCTACTTGCCTTTCGTGACAGTCAATCTGTCCAACCCGTCAGAGTAACCGCCCTTTGTCAAAGGGAAGCTACTCTAACCAAACTGTGAAAAAGTGTGTTTCTAAAAATCTGCATGGCCTGTGATACGGTTACGAAGTGCAGAGTCAGATTTTCAAACAGTCTAAAAATTCGGACACCTTTGGAAGCAAATCCAACTGACTTAAACTGGGGTAAAGGGCCAAAGAGGCAGAGGTCTATAACTACAGATATGGAAACTGATCGCTCTCGGTAAATGTGCTCATTAATTGGGGAAAAATGTAAAATACCTCGGTTACGTACCAGTTTGACAATGATTTTCCCCGTGTTTATCAGATCATTGTTTTGATAATGATAACAATAATGCATGTAGTTTCCGATGTTTATTTGTGAGTCGATCGCCGATTTACGAGGGCCATTTTGGGTTGTATGAAAGAAGGTATAGTACTACTACTGTGTCGCACCAGTACAAGGGAACACAGGCACGCACGCACGCACGCACGCATGCACACACCCACGCACGCACCCACGCACGCACACACAGCGATCAGATATAAGAGCAACAATTTTGAACGTAACGTCAAACCCGAATTCACTTCAGCTCCACTTGTCATAAGACACTTATATGAGTAATTACATTTGAGTGGCATGCTTGTCGTAAGAGGCGACTAACGGGATCAGGTGGTCAGGCTGGCTGACTTGGTTGACACAAGTCATTGTATCCCAAATGCTGTTGATCACTGGATTGTCTGTTCCATACACGATTATTTACAGACCGCTGCCATACAACTTAAATATTGCTGAGTGCAGCGTTAAACAACCCACCATTTGGGCAGGACGGGTCCATGAGCAGGAAAGACATTTGTGCAGTGCAGTAATGTACATTTGGGGTGTATAGTCGAAATGTCATACGAACAATGTCATTGGAAATTCCGAAGAGACGTCTGGTTTTCGTTGAAGCCATCCATACATTTGAAACTGATTTCCTCACAACTGGTTGTACTGGCAGGCAGGATGTATGTTCCCACCTCCAACGGCTGGCGCTGCCACTGTAGTTTCACCGTGAATCTTAAGGTCAGGGTAGCCTAATGGTTAAAGCGTCAGTTCGTCACGCCGAAGACCCGGGTTCGATTCCCCACATGGGTACAATGTGTGAAGCCTATTTCTGGTGTCCCCCGCCGTGATATTGCTGGAATAGTGCTAAAAGCGGCGTAAAACTAAACTCAATCACTCACTCATTAGTCAAGCGAGTGACTTTTCTCTGATGAAGTCATTGTAGGAAGCATAACAAAATATTTAATACTCGTCCATGCAGCGACTGACACAGGGACTCGTTTCGTGTTTCGGTACAAATCTAAGACATCTGATCGCGGTGTAATAGTCGCGGATACGCATAAAGCGGTCCTGATTACTGAAATCACCTGGTAGGTGTATGTAACCATCCTGGTGGGTGAGAGACCTCCCACACAGGTTGATAGTCGTAATTACAATACCTGAATGATAATAAATGGTAATGAATGACAATGAATTGTGTTAAAGAATATTTTTTCCCTTAAGTTTTAAAACGTGAAAGAATTCAGGTACAAGCATCCTTGTATGAACTAAAATAGTTCAATGCAAAACTATATTCTATTTCTTATAAAATAAACTTAGTATGTACAACCCTATATACAATCCTAGGTTAATTGTAAATAATATTGTAATTGTAAAATGTGTTTATATATAAAAATTCTTTCGAGTGTGCCTTTGTGTTTATAATAGACTTGTGTATATGTGTGAATTTGGATCCTCTCCATGTGGCCGATGAAACTGATGCGACGTCAAATATTAACTCACTCACTTAAATCATGTATATGTACTTCTGAAAGGCACTATGAGTGGCCCAGATAGCTTTCCGATGTTGGTCCAACGTTGCCAACGGTTGGCGGCGTCATGGTCGGATTTCCTGCGTTGATCCGACGTTGGCTTGACGGTCGAAAAGGCGTTGGGCAACGTTAGTGATAACGTTGGGCAGACGTTGGCCCAACGCCAGAATGTTATCTGGGACAGGTTTCGTCACTATACCACGGTGTTACTGGTATTTAAAATTGAAAGATAACTTATACCAAAACTCTCTTTAACCTACAGTGTGTACGCATGGAACATACCTATACTGGGAGTCTACATGGTCTGCGTGTGCTCTATGGGCGTCGTCGCCTACAGCTACCTCGCAGCAAAGGGATGTGATCCCTTCCAGACTGGCATCCTCACAGACAGAAACCAGGTATGAACTGAACGATACCAATTCGTAAGGAATATGCTTGTTTGTTGTTTAACACATTTCCAGCTGTATGACAGCGATTTGTAAATAATCCCGTCTGGACAAGACTATCCATTGATTGACATCAATCTACACAGTTGGGATAGGACATGTGTCAACCAAGTCAGAAAGCTTGACCACATGGTCCCTGTAGTCGACTCTTACAAAAAGCATTGGTTGCTGAAGACCAATTCTAACCCGGATCTTCAATTATAATATGCTTGTAGTGAGTGGGTATGGTTTTACACAGCGTTTAGCAATATTCAAGCAATATTACGATGGGGGACACACGAAATAGACATTGTACCCGTGGGGAAGCGAACCTGTGTTTTCGAATAGGCGAGCGAACGCTTTAACCACCAATTAAATTAGAAATATTCTTTTTATTCAGCTGATGCCCTTTGTTGTGTTGGAAGTATTTAAAGGTGTACCTGGCATGGCTGGTTTGTACCTGGCCACCATATTCAGCTCGGCGTTAAGGTACGTCCTACAGTTACCACATGGAACAGAGTGCAAGCGTCAAAGTTGGTTTTCAGAGACCCATTCATAGCTTTTACAGATAATGGAGACTGGTTATTATGCGGTGTTGGTATTTTTACAGAAATATGAATTGGCTGACGTATGCAAAGGATTATGTAATATACATAAAATACAATTAAGTCATCGCTTTATAACGGTGTTAGAAAACGGTATAAGATCTACATCGAAACGTCACTCCTAGTGTAATAAAGAGGTTCATGCATATATTCTTATCCCTCCGTAATACTTGTTTTGTGGATTTATCTTATTTTGCCTTGAGTTTCATCTTCTTAAACCAGCAGCCTGGTGTAATGTTCAGCAATACATGACTCATGCTGGAAGATCACGTGTGCCTCAGATCATGTGTTTAGTCTCACATGTTGTGATCGCTCAGAAATGATTAACTGTTTATGCTACTGTTCTTGGTTAACGTAAAGGTCATGTATATGTTAGATGATGTTTAAGAGAAATGAGTTAAAACAAATATGGTAGATACCGACCCAGTTACTGATCATACAATTTCTCGTCGTGTATTTGGTAACTCGCACAAAGGCTTGTAACGCAAACAATAGGCATATAGGACTCAGTGATATTTATTGATGCTAGTCAAGACTCCGATAGTGACAGTATATACAGTAGATCTATCTATCGATCGATCTGTATGTCTGTCTGACTAAAGGTGCTCTCATAACGAACCTTTCTAAATCGTTAATTGATAAGATTATTCATGGTCCCTACATGCTACATGCTGCATTGTTCATAATCTTTATATCCATCTGGATTCGGTCCGATCTAGCACTTTGTCGTCCGTCACCAATGGTCTAGCTGCTAACACCGTCATGGATATTCTGAAGCTGCCGTTTCAGCGCTATAAAACAAAGGAGTCTATGAGGATACTCACAGCTAAAGTAGCAGGTATGACAAATGTCCACAAATATATATAATGACACACGATGAAGGAATGATTATTAGTAGTCGAAATAAGATAATACAATGGGTAAAAATATATGTCAACAGCATTGATGAACAGGTCCCAGCACACCAGTCGGTTCCTGCACGAATGTTCAGCATTTGTCGCAGCTGATTTTCAGGAATGAGGTAAACGCCCAGTATCGCGGAGCGCACCAATCCTTGCACACATGATTCGGCCAAGTGGAAGAAGACATGAAAAACCACGTTACCTATGTACGAGACTGAAAACAAACTCCTCAAAGCGGAAAGAGGGTAACGACGGTGTCATTCAGTGGGACAGAGTTTAGACTGTAAAAACACTAAGGGAGGTCACTCTAGTTGACATTCAACATTGCTTGAGTTTGTAATCCATAATGATTATTTAAATCCGAATAAATCTGCTTGCATTCATTATTGCAATACAAAACTTAGTTAGTCGATGGCAAACAGACCTGACCACCCTTAAGCTATACAACCAACACCAACACTGCTGTCTGTAATAAATTCACTGCAATATCACAACTTAGTACAATACCCAGTCCAATATTTTGAGACCAACTCATTCAACTGGATATATAAATATTAAACAGTATTATTTGATACATTTAATCACTTGTATATTGCAACACTACGCTCCTTCTAATCTTTTCAAACACGTCGTGCAGCGTGCTCTGTCGTACACCGTGCTCTGACAAACGGAAATCTGGAAATCGTGGAAATCTTTAAACGAGACTCGGCCGCTAGTTTGGCGGTCTGGTACGGACTTGACATTATACCAGTCACATTGTACGTAACAGAGTACACTGAATAAGCGCAAAGAACACATAACAGGTTTAACCAGTCAGCCAGATGAATTGTGAATCATTTTACGACCTCATCAAACCAGGGCAGTCTGTGACGTCTTAGTTAAGGTCATGCTGCCTAAACCTCGCCATAAAATATAGAAATACGATTTTTTAAAGTTTAAAATAAAACTTCATTTGTAAAACCATATTTTTATGAAACAAGGAATTTGAATTTGGTGTAACCATAGCTGTTTGTAGTGGCTCTTTTCACTTTCACATGAGGAAATTCGGATCTGCTGAAAAGTAGGTCATTGTCTGAATTGGGTTACTACGACTCATGTTTCGGTTTGTTATTTCAGTATGGTTTTACGGTGGTGTGTGTATGGGCTTAGCTTTCCTGGCGCAGAGCTTCCCTGGGACAGTGTTGGAGGTGAGAACTAAAACGCTGATCTGTATTATTATCAGTTCAAGGTGTTATTATCACATACCAGCAGCTACAGATATGTGGACGTGCATTTCATACATACAAGTTGGTATCCAATTTAGGCAAGGCGACACCCAAGTGACGCAATCAGGAAAGAAAACAATGTTTACAATTTATGTTATTTTGTCGACAGCCCTGTTTTGAACGGTGAATAAAATAAAGAGAAAAAAGTTAACAATGTCTCTCGGACAGAGGTATACACATGGAACATACTGCGCTTAAAATAACTTTCGTCATCAATTAAACCATGCCGAATATATATACAGTGGAAGCCCGCTTATCCGAACCCCACATATCCGGAAACCTCGATTACCGGAAGATACTTATGTGAAACGAAATACATACTACTTATAATGCTTCATTTACCTGAAAATCTGGGTTCCGGAACTGTACAGTGAATTTCAGTTACCAACAGTCCCAAATACTCACACAACCGGGTAGCTAATTCATTACATGGCATGAAATGACATACTTAATTTATTCCTGATATTTCATATAATGGTCATAAAAGTCATTTATTGTATATCTAGACTGATGCTCGTGATTTAGTTTATCAATATTATTCAAAGTAATAGTCACTATTGTCTATCAAAATTGTAAGTGACCGCACGAACTCGTCAACCTTTTACTTCCCCCAAGTTCTGAAACCGCTATTGATGCCTTCAAGCGAACATAAGTTCGCGGGAACGGATACATATATCTGCCGTACATTTGTGTGATAAATGTGATATTTGATAACCAGGCTAAGATATGCCAACATGGAATTTTCTGATTGAAATGACCTGCTTATGATCAAATTGTTCCATACCTAAACAATGTAATTTAGATGAACATAGAGTTGAACGATACTTTAGTGAGTAAGTGAGTTTAGTTTGACGCCGCACTCAGCAATAATCCATCTATATGGCGGTGGTCTGTAAATAATCGAGTCTGGACCAGACAATCCAGTGATCAACAGCATGAGCATCGATCTGCGCAATCGGGACCGATGAAATGTGTCAACCAAGTCAGCGAGCCTGTCCACCCGATCCCGTTAGTCGCCTCTTACGACAAGCATGGGTTACTGAAGATCAATATTCTTACCCGGACCTTCACGGGTCAACAATAGTTTAGTTACATTCACGGCGTCACCTAACTAGTAGAAGATGGCCCGACATCACGCATTTCTTTGATGGTTACCACTTTGGTGAAACCTACGAGGAGGCCATTGGTGTTGACAAACTGAAAATCGAACACAATACAAATCTGTGATTCGAGTGAGTTTAGTTTAGTGTTACGCCGCTTTTAGCAATAATCCGACAATAACACGACAGGGGACACCAGAAATGGGCTTCACACATAGTACCCATGTGGTGAATCGAACCCGGATCTTCAGCGTGACGAGCCAACGCTTTAACCACTAGGCTATTCCACCGCCCCCTCTGTGATTCGATTCCATGATAACAAAGGCAAGTGAGGGACGCCCTTCTATTGTTTGACAACTAAAACTGTTTCTGTACAATAGAGATATTTTCATGTCGAACAGTCTTGGTATAATTTGGCCAAACCTGAGTCAACCAGAAATTTTGAAGAGTATATCCCTTTACAATAAATGCCGCGCCATTGTACACTGCCGTAGTTACCGTAAAGATGCAGATTCGAACTCGTTTTCTGCAACGAATTAATCTCATACGAGGCGACTAGAGGCATCGGGTGGTCAGATTCGCCGACTTCGTTGATGAATGTTATCGTATTCAATCGGCGTACACGGTTGTGTTGCTGAGTGCGGCGTAAAACAACAACCAACTCCAGAGCTAATATATATGTACAAATCAAATACGAATGTCTAGTCTTTATTCACTTTATATAATTCAATATTATAGGCCACCGTAAGCCTGCTAGGAGCGTGTGGTGGGCCGATAGTGGGCGTCTTCTTCCTGGGAGCTCTAGTACCATGGACAAATAAAATCGTAAGTAAAAACCACAACACTGCAATACATTGGACATAACGAACCGCACCTGACTGTCATTTATCATCAAATATACGAACATGAGTCGCTGATGTTGAAAACTCAACACATGGAATTTTGAAACTTACGTCAGCGACGTTCATCCAAAATTAACTTACCCAAATTGTACTTACATTTCATGTAGTGAACCCGATAGCGATAAAGTAAACTTATCAAATTAAGATATGTCTGGATCTGAGTGCTCCAGCTTTTGTGCTGCGTTTGTTGTGACGTGGGCCTGATGTCCAGCTCACCAACGCCCCCTAACCTTTATTTAATGATACAGGGTGCGATAGCAGGATTGATCGTGTCTCTCCTACTGAGCACGTGGATGAGCATCGGGGCAGCGTTGTATGGACGGAGACCTGTACCCCTTCCCCCAGCTCCCGGCAACTCCTGTGACGTTTTCTCTCTGGCCACCGTCAACGGCGGAAACATCTCCACAAGGTTGCCATCAATGCTAAATATAACACCGGCATCGTTCAGGTAGTGTAACTTTCAGCGTTATACTTTGGTTGCAGAATAAACTGGGTGTTTGAATGCCTATTCATGAGACAATATACAAATTCTATAGCGGAAAGTGTATGCGCTCATCACATGCACAATCGCAACATTCATTTGGGTTAAAGTAGGATAAAACCATCCTCAATAGCTTGATCTTTGCAGTAACGTCACAGAGAACGAGGGACTCTTCTTTTACAACATCTCTTACCAACACTACGGTCTTACAGCCTGGCTTTTTGCATTAATCGTGGGATTTGTGGTCAGCGTTGCTACATGTAAGTAACTTTGTCCACTTTCCTCCACCCTGTAATATATATGTGTATAAAACACAGTGCAAAATGCAAGGTAGAAGGTGATGAAAAGGCTACATGTTTCATTCCATGTGCAACTGAACTGAACTTTTAGAAGTCGAAAGAACGACGTTTCTTTAATTTAAATATATACATTTTCAGTAAAAATCTGCATACCCACTCAAACATGACACTGGGAATGTATTTTGAATGACGAAGTTTTAACGTTTGAGGGATATCATTTTGAGGTGTTGTTATAGGTCGAATGTATCCTCCTATTACTGATGACAAGCTGCTGTTTCCGGTTGTGAGACGATTTTGGAACATTAAGGGTTTTCAAGTGTCTGGACAAGTAAGTACTAGCACCATTACTTACTTTATGACTGCTTGTCACTCTATGAGTTAAGAAAATTCAACGTTCCTTCTGCACTTGTGACCCGTGAAGAGACGACTAACGGAATCGGGTGGTCAGGCTCGCTGACTTGGTTGACACATATCGTCGTATCGAACGTGTGTGGATCGATGTTCATGATGTTGATCACTGGATTGTCTGGTCCAGACCCGATTATTTACAGACCGCCGCCATATAGCTGGAATATTGCTGAGTGCGCCGTTACACAACAAAGGAACCAACAATGTTTGACGCTGGTCAGTGAAACATAAGTATATCCTCAGCAGGATCAGCGTATAGGAGACACAACAGCAAACTTTGCTTAGAAAGTGAAATCCCAAATACAACATACATGTATGTTGTGATTCATTTTCAGATGGAGAAAGAAAAATCTGTCACTCTGCAAGACCACACACCATGCGCCCTAACCTCCTTCCATTTAAAGATTGGGTCAGTTACAGGAGATAACCATGTAGAGGACAGCAGATTTTGATGGCGGACTGGATCATAAACCCCGCTGTGTCCTAACTGAAGCCTTATTGTAGTTGAATTGATAAAACATTGTAATGGATGATACGAAACAAACAGGGCCGCGATTCACAAAGCAATCGTTGCGCTACGACTCCTATACTTTAACATAGAGTTACGACAGTCGTAGCGCTACGACTCCTATACTTTAACATAGAGTTACGACAGTCGTAGCGCTACGACTCCTATACTTTAACATAGAGTTACGACAGTCGTAGCGCTACGACTCCTATACTTTAACATAGAGTTACGACAGTCGTAGCGCTACGACTCCTATACTTTAACATAGAGTTACGACAGTCGTAACGCTAAGATCGCTTTGTGAAACAGGGCCCAGAACAGTAATTATTACGTGCTGACAAATACAGTGCCAGTGTTACCATAATGACAAAACCAGATCATATTGGCCACCTTATATCAATTAGAAATTATATTGATTCTGAGTTATCCTTAGATCTTTGGTGACTAAACCCCTATGCTTGTAGACATGTATTCAGACCAAGTGATTTTTGTCATCAGATCATACTGACCAGCTCATTATATTATGATTGATAATTATACTGAACGTATTCATCATAGACAGTTTGACAAAGATAAGTATCACATTGACTAAAAGAGCTAGAGTCTGCTACTACTTGCATAAACAGAAACACTTCCGAAATAACACAATGCAGGTCGGACATATGAATGTTTGTTAGTAAACTATATGGTCAGATGCTGACTGCATGCAATACCATTGTCAACGGTTTAATGAAACCTAATATACTCAGCAGCTATAAAAAGTACGAATTCAAAATTCGATAGGCCCTGTTACAGAAATTGACATGATAAGCGGATCAAAACATTCTTTGTATACAGTATCTTGACACATCAAGGAATAACTCAGCACAATTTCAAGACATTACGTGAACGTTTGCAGTCCATTCAGTCTCTTGACTTCAGTATCTAGTGTGACCACCACGAGCGGCAATAACTGCAGCACAGCGTCTATGCATGGAGTGCACCAATCGATTGATGAAGGCCATTGGCACCTGGAACCACACTCTGAGAAAGGCCTGGCGCAATAAATCGGCTGTGTTCGGCCTTGGTATGACATTATTCAGTCTCCTCTGAATTTCATCCCAAAGATGTTCAACTGGGTTTAAATCAGGACTAAGGGTTGGCCACTGCATAATGTTGACACCGTTCTGCTGTAGGAAGTCCCGTGTAGCTCTGTCAGTATGGGCCCGGGCGTTATCATGCTGGAAAATGTTGTTCCGGTGACGTGCGAAATGTGGTATGACGTGGGGTCTGAGAGCTTAGTCGATGTAGCTCACCACTGTGATGCCGCCTCCTCTCCCTGGACCAAGGTTTTCTCTTGTACCACCAAACGTGGTTATTTGAGAATAAACTGAACTTGAACTTGGAACACCACAGGACCCACTCTCTGGTTCAGGCCTATTCCACCCCATATCATGATGCTTGCACCTCACCATGAGTCTCTTTCCATAACACATCGGTCTGAGTAACGCTGGCCACGTCGTCGCCCTATTCTTGTTCTGCCATCTGCAGTTGATACGCAGTACCGACTCTCATCTGTGAACAGAACAGTTCTCCATTGCCTGTATCGCCAGTTTTGGTGTTGTAGGGCAAACTGCTGACGTTCACGCCGATGGCGAGGGGAGTGAGGATAGGTCCACGGTAGGGTCTACGGCAATGGAAGTTCCCGCTGTTAAGACGTCGGCGTACTATCAGTACTGATTGGTCTTCCGTGTGTTCCCACTGTCAGGCGTGCTGTTTCGGATGCCTGCATGAAGGGATTCTGTACATGCTGTCGCACAACATGGCGGTCTTGTCGTCTTGTGGTCACCCTTGGTCTGCCAGAACGGGGACGATCATTTGTGTTGTTGGTGGCCCGGAAACGTTGCTGCAGCCTGTAGATGGTCCGAACGTTAACCTGGACGTGATTGGCAACGGCTTGTGCAGTGTGGCCAGCTTCAAGTCTTCCTAGCGCCTGATTCCTCTCAGCTGTCGTGAGTCGCGTCATCCTGCTGACGTTGTAATGTGAATGTTTTAACCAGGTGTAGGGGTGTATGTCATAGGGCTGGTCCTTGTGAACAGCACGTGCAGCATGAGTTGCATGAAAAACATGGAGAACACCGTACCATCTCCGAGATCGAGAGCATTTCCTGGGTTCCATTCTGAGTTTGGGAAGGAGTGTCTTTGCACAGGTATTGTTTGAGATGTTGTCAAAATATACAATCAAAACATTAAATGAGTTTACAGTTATCCGTTTCTGCGAAGGGAAATTCTAAACTGACGTTTCTTTTGCTGCTTAGTATATAAAGGAATCATCGTGACCTTCTCTAAGGAACAAGTACTCCCACAATGAGTGTATGCTTTCACTCTAAATAAGCAGTTTTTATACAGCACATACAAATAATTAATCAGTTAACATTGTCCATATAATGTTTGGAACATAAATACAAGTTATACACATACTACCCGTGATGATCCGGGTTAGAATTGTCTTCAGCAACCAATGCTTGTCGTAAGAGGCGACTAATGGGATCGGGTGGTCAGGTTCACTGACTTTGTTGACATATGTCATTTTATCCCAATTACGTAGATCGATGCTCTATGTCAAACACTAGATTATCAGATCCAGACTCGATTATATTTTTACGGAAGATTGCTGAATGCTGCATTAAACAACTTAAACACAAACTCCCCAAAACTCTGTTCTGGTAGCAGACTGTTAAACAACAAACATACAATGCCATTGTGTTTGTGTCTTGATATTCTAGATAGTAATAAAGTTTGCAGTCCAACTCTGTCATATGTTCTTTATATGCTCAAAGAGCAAAAACGCGTGAAGGTCCGGGTTAGAATGAACCTTCAGTAACCAATGCTTGTCGTAAGGGGACTAATGGGATCGAATTGGTCAGGTTCACTGACTTTGTTGACATATGTCATTTTATCCCAATTACGTAGATCGATGCTCTATGTCAAAAACTAGATTATCAGATCCAGACTCGATTATATTTTTACGGAAGATTGCTGAATGCTGCATTAAACAGCTTAAACACAAACTCCCAAAACTCTGTTCTGGTAGCAGACTGTTAAAAACAAACATACAATGCCATTGTGTTTGTGTCTTGATATTCTAGATAGTAATAAAGTTTGCAGTCCAACTCTGTCATATGTTCTTTATATGCTCAAAGAGCAAAACGCGTGAAGGTCCGGGTTAGAATGAACCTTCAGTAACCCATACTTGTCGTAAGAGGCGACTAACGGGATCGGGTGGTCAGACTCGCTGACTTGATTGACACATGTCATCGGTTCCCGATTGCGCAGATCGATGCTCATGCTGTTGATCACTGGATTGTCTGGTCCAGACTCGATTATTTACAGACCGACGCCATATAGCTGGAATTTTGCTGAGTGCGGCGTAAAACTAAACTCACTCACTCACTCAAAGAGCAAAGGTGTGTGATAACCTCATACCAAGAAATGGTGCTTGTTGTTACCCAGCCTGATTTATTGAAAAGGAAATAGTAGTTGTTTCAGAGATTGTATGGTGCATCCATGTGCAGCTGGTAGATGTCTAAGTGTTCTAAAACTAACAATACAAGAAAACACTACTCGTAAAGATCCGGATGAGAATTGGGGTGAGTGAGTGACTTCAAATTTTAAGTTACATCCGCAGTATTTCAGCCATATCATGACTATACTAAGTTATAATAAAATTATAATTAAAGGTAGATTTTAAAAATCTGCCAACGAAGGACGGTAATAAAACAACCAGTTTATCACCGATATAAACTTAAAACCAGTAATTAAACCTAAAACATTTACCTACAGATGACAGTACAGTATAAAAGCAGGATATAGATCTGAACAACTGAAGGAAGATCACCATACTAGGGACCATGGGCTTTTATAGTACATTTCCTTCCTGCTTGGACCCTAGCTGGATTTATACCATTCCTTCAGCCGTTAGCAATTGTAGCCAGAACTAACAATAAATTAAAATGACATATATACCACCATCACAGAGTGTTAGAATTGGCCTTCAGAAGCCCATGCTTGTCGTAAGAAGCGACTAAAGGGAGGATCCAGCTCGCTGAATTGACTGTTGTAACACAATTGCGTAGATCGATGTGTTAAGACTTATAAACACACCTGTGCCATTTAGCTGGAATACTGCAGAGTACAGCGTTAAGCAACAATCAAACCGACACGTTAACTCACGCACGTACGCACGCAGTCATCGTGATGGCAACCACATTCCACTTCAGCTATTCTTATCATAAGACACGTTTATCTGATTAAATCTTTTCAGGTGGGACGGATCCAGTGACTAAGTTAGGTAGTATTGCATAACAATGTAGATTAGGAGTGTTTGGTCACGATGTCATTGGAAATTCCGAAAAGAAATCCGGTTCTAGTTAAAGCCACCCACATAGATTCAGTGAATATGGCCATGCATTTGAAACTCACTACTGGTTGTACTGGCAGGCAGGATTTATGTTCACATCCCCAAAGCTGGTGCAGCCACTGTATATTTACAGTCGACTTTCTAAATTTGTACTTGACTTTTCGTCATGCTGAGGTGACCTGTTCTTGGTCTCACATTTGACAGGTGCTTGGAAGTTTGTATTTCTTGTTAAGAACTTAATATATTTAAAAGAATGATTATGTATAAGTGAGTGACAGAGTCTGATGGGATTAACACTGCTTTGAACAGAGAACCATTTATATCGTGGCATCTCAGCTTCATCAAGTGATGCAGATGACTACACTACCTCGGTGAAACCCATGAGCAGGGATATGGTGCTGACAACCCAGAAGTCATAACCATGATCATTCCGGCATGTCTAAGGGACGCACCATTAGACAGCCGACTGAAGAGGCTTAGACGTGAGGGCTTTACAAGTAAATCCTGTTATAGTCGAGATATTATAAATGTCAACGGAAGCATATAGCGTTTACTCCTTCATCACTTCTAAACTCCAAAGACTCCTACATCCTTTTGGAAATACAACTGATAAATGCATAAGCCACATTTGCCATCATAAAATTTAATGCTTAAAATGAACACGTAATTAGGTTTGCTCCATATTTATTGGTAGTACATTGAACATGTCATATTTATTGGTATAGTCCGTTTAATTTCATTTTAGACCGATGAATTGCTCACTAACACAAAACCTAAAAATTGCAACAAAACCAAATTTTGCACAGTCACATGAAATCGACAGACCAACTCTGATGATTTGTAGATTTGATGATTTGGTAGAACAGCCAGGTAATCAACAAGCGTGTGCAGTGAAATTTCAATTTCACACGTACAACTCGCACACCTGGTTGTTCTACGAGTAAGTGGTCCTCCCTCGTACGAAATAGCGAAAAGTGACAACAAAATAAAGATCGTTTGTTAAACAACTTTCTATTCGGGTGTCCAAAATTATGAGACAAATGTCAGTCTATAATGAAGTCAAACGGACTGTAGTACATTGAAAATGTTTCATTAAGAAGACCAAGACTAAATCTTATTTGCATTGTGGATAAAATGACTCTGTGTATAAGTCTATGTAAGTCTATACCACAGCACTGCGTAAACCTACACTGCAATTCAAACCGGTATTCTTTAAAATGACTTGCGAAACCAGGGTGACATTGTAGAAAGCGATTTTAGCATTGTGGATTGTATACAAGCACTCCCATACTTTAACACAGACTTAGACTTAAGGTTGCATTGTACAACAACAAGATCTACATGTTTAGACATTTCTGTTGACCGACACTTAATGAGAGTTTTTTAATTACAGTTTATTAAAAGTAGATATAGGTCATGCATGATATAAAAGTGAGATTATTTGGTTATATGCTATCAGTAATAAAGACTATTTTCAATCCATAAATCTAATACAGACTCATTGTTACTGATGTGTGTTTCATTATAATGAATACTGTTTGAGTAATATTATCCAAAAGTTTGGGACATAATTAATTCAGGAGAGTTATTCAAGTAAAGGATGGGTACAGTATCATCTAAATCAATACGAGTAATAACTAGTATGCCTACATTTAAACAGCTGCTGAAAACCTTTCACGTGAATGAATACGTTATGGATTCAATTTATGTGTCTAGGATTATCGAACAACAGATGGTTCTCTGGACAATAGAAAATATTTTTTATCATAACAGTCCACCTGATTTCGACAAACGATAGGCTGGGTGTACATTCCGGTTACTCCCAAGGGCCCCAGAATCCTCCGTGTAGTTTGGGGTCAGCCATGAGGTCAGAGGTAGGGTAGACAGTGGGTACTGCTGTTTTCTGGTAGTTTGCTAATCGGTTCAGCAGATCCATAACAACGCCTGGGTTAGCCGCTGACACGTCATGGCGCTCATTTGGATCATTTGGTATGTCGAACAGCCAAAGGTTCTTCAAGGCATCAACAGGTTCCTGTATCGGCTTCTCACCGGATTGTGGAGGTGGGGTCCAGCTGCCCTCTCCTGGGGATGGAAGGAAACTGGTTGTGGATGTCATCATAGATAAAATCATATTTATACGAAATTGATTTTATAAAAAAACACACCCGATCCCGTTTGTCACCTTTTACGACAAGTCTAACCCGGATCTTCACGGGTTGTTTAATATGACCTTCACCTCCTGTCACGACCTGTAGGAGCTCAGAAACTGAATCAATGGATGGACGCGTTAGGAACTACAGTAATCAGCAAAGAATGTCTACAAACCTGGATTTCCAGTTATGAGCTTCCACTTCCCAACTCTTATTGCTGCTCTGATCCGCGTGTCAAAGGTGTTGTTATACAGCTTTTGTCCCTTGGGCATCGTCAGGGGGTCAATATTGTGTAGGATCTCCGTCCTTGGACTGGTGCTATTTTGACTGAAAGAATGGCAAATTGATATACTTCTCCTCGTTCGTGTTAGCAAATAAGCACTGCAGTTATGTTACTGCAGAGTGGAGACCGCTCTATTCAAAACATGTGTATTCTCAGCAAAAGGTTTCAAGTGCATACTCCAAGGGTTGGACATCTACAATAACATGTCTCGAAATTCAACACAGAAGTTTAAGTGATTTGAACAAGCGTTTGAAATTGATTTGATTAATTGTTTATGGTCCGTCAGTTCTTGTGTTACACCCTCTGCATTTTTTAGTGTTGGTAATACTACATTTGTGTTTTGTTAGAAGGTTCAAATGTCTCGTCTCGATCTTCTGGTGACGGTAATTTCCGAGTTTTAGTAGAAATAGGACATCATCAGGAGGTTTATATGTATAATCTAGAGGTATCAAGGTAGAGAAAAAAGAAAAGAATGTGCTAATATTTCTCCATTAGGAAAACTATCATACTAAATAATTGAAAATGAAATGCATGAGTGATGTAGGTGGCAACATTGGTGGAACATTTCAAGTTGATTTCCAATAAAAAAATAAAGAAAATACTATCCATATCATTCATTACATGTGCACTAGAATATTTTGTTTGGTTTCCTTTATAACATTAGAATCAGTAATACTGCAGTTATGTGACGGTCGCCTGTAAATATTAAATCTGAGCAGACTGACAGTAACATGGTGAGCAACAAGGCACTCAGTTTGGGGACAATGACATACAACCCAGCATTCTATGCTATTTTTGCATCATTTAATGAACTAATATCTTTGGTATCATAGATTTGAAACTCTATGTAAACCACAGGTGATTGTAACAAGGAAACAAGCACAAATGCATTCTTTATATATTACATTATATCACAAATGGGGTCTTAAAACTACATAGAGGGGCCTTTAAACTAGCGAAAAGGTAGCAGTTGTCAATGCAGGGATGTTAGTGCCATATAAAATGATCTTTTACATTGTGCTAAGATCGTGGCACTGACTCCGGTACTAACAATACAATACATTTACCTTAGCCTTTGCGTTCCAAGCCCTGGCGGTGATATATGCATGAGTTTACCTGATGGTCTTCCATTGGTCAAATCCATCTAGAGGCTTTGTTCCATTGGTGTTCCCGCCAGCCAGACCCACCAGTGTTGGGAACCAATCAGATACATGGATCATCTGGTGATTGGTCGTTCCTTTGTTCTGCAGCATGTCGCCGTACACAAACCCCACAGCCCGTGAACCTCCTTCCCATAATGTGTTCTTGTTTCCCCTCAACGGCCAGTTGTTTGCCCCTTCGTGGATCTCGCCTCCATTGTCTGAAACACAAGTATTTTGTCTTGTAATTGTTTGATCGGCATTCTAGAAGTTGGTGACTCGAAATGAAACATACGACTTCATAGATGGCAATTTTTTTTTTATTGCATAGAGCGATGTTTCGATGTAGATCCTTACATCGTTATCAAGCTAAAAGTGAATGCAACCAGATGATGGGAGGTATATATACATAGTATGTTTTGACAAACAGCAGATGAACATTAACAACAACATGTACTTGAATTGAATAACAACTGGCACAAAATTATGAGAGGCCAGTGGGAGACTAAAAACAACAAATGAGACTGGTATGGAAGCCAATAAACAGTGGGGATTAGGTTGTAATAACAAGCTGATAGGGTGCTTATAGAGTCTATATTTTGATTAATTCTTCATAGGCCAATGGTATGTGGTATCCTTGGTCTTTATTGATCAAAGGTTTGTGGCGGCGATAAGGTTGGTGATAACGATGTAAGGATCTACATCGAAACGTTGCTCTATGCAATAAGAAGTTTTCATTCATAAAGTTGTATGTTTCATTTTGTCTTGTAGCTTATGAGAGTAACTCTTCTCTACTCTTGAGCAAAAACGCATTTTGTCTTCAAGCCAGAGTATTGCATGTGAACCAATGGACCTTCTTTTAGCCAATCTCACCAACCTGACACCTGGTTTACTTGAACCGGGCTGTGGTATAATGACTGGGGTACACAAACTATATAACTGAGAATCATCAGCCTCAATTATCTTCAGAATCAGATTCCACTGGTGTCAGAATAACATAGGATATCAAATGACTGGACAGTGATTTATCTAAACCTACCAAAGCGTGATATTCAGCCCTGAATAGGAACATTTAAAAAATTAAATTTCAACGGGTTTCAATTAGTTGTTCCCGATTTGCCCGCCAAAGACACTTTGTTTGGTTCCCAGCTGAATGTCTGGTATATCACGGTCATGACGCCAGTTGCCTCTGAAAAGAGTAACCATGTCATGCCCTTACCACAGGCACCTGAGTAGTATACACAATGGGGCTACGGGACCAGGTCCCTCCCATGGGCTCAATTTTGATACTTTAGGAAATGATCACTTTTTAGTGAGCATGGGGTCGGTCTGGCGAAAGGCTAACAATCCAACGTATTGTCGTACTTGTTATATATTATCGAGGTGAGAGGTGTTTCTTGCCGAATGAAACGCAGGTCTCGAAAGTCATCACCTCGCTACCGTCTTGGGGGTTGCTTTGAGCGAGCGCCGTGGACGAGTATAAGTGTGTGTGTTTCTCGGCTCGGCTATGATGATGGTGACTAGCGAGGCTACAGATGTCTGAAAGTGAATGAAACACATCTCCCGGCAGATTCCACCCTGGGTCGTCGTCTCTGTATCACCGAGCGAGCGCTGTGGGCGAGTCGCAGTGTGTGGCTTGGCTCGGATTGTACAGCCGACTGGCTGGCGGGCAACGTTATGTTGATTTCCACTAAATCATACCGCATCTATCGGCAGTTCCCCTGGGTCGACTCGCTGCCGTCTCGGTAGCATTGAGCGAGCGCTGTGGGCGAGTTGCAGTGTGTATGTCTCGGCTTGGCTATTTACCTACAGCTTGCTGAGATGGCTGTCCACGTTATGTTGAAGTCCGCGAAACAGTTTATTGTGAATCTCATTCTATGATTTGTTTGGCTTGTCCGGACGGTTGCTTCCCTTGTTCTATGAAAAAATATTCTCGGCTTCGCTGATGACGGCGTTTTTACCAGACTTGGTTCGAATCTCTTGTTTCATTCTGTGATATTTTGCGATTTCTGATAGCACCAAACGAAACTCTTCTTGGGAGATTTTAGATTCGGTGAGCGCGGTGTAAATATTTGAGGCTGATAAGGTTTAGATTATCGTACACGTAAATATTCGAGACATGAATCGATTTTTTTTCTATAACACGCACTCCATCGAGGCTTATTAAGGGTGTTGATCCCGGTCTTATGACGATACAACACCGTTGGTGATTGTTTCTGGTGAACCAGCGTATTATCAACCCAGTCAAAAGTGTTTTCTGACCCACGAGCGTCAGCGAGATAGACATCTTCTACGAGCGTGGTGAGTGATTTGATAGTCAAATTTGAATCGAAAAAATCCCGTTGGTAATCGGGTATGTCAAACAGTAAATATGAAGCCACGTCGTTTGAAGCTGACATGTTGCCCGTGTGACCTGGTATTCGTAAAACTTGTACATCAAACTCTGGAGTGAAAAATGTGAGAAGGATCCCATTGTTCGTAATTTTGGAGACGTAACCATTGTTTTTAAAAGACATGTGGGGTGAGGTGAGGGTCATGTTGAACAACCAGTCAGGCTGTTTGAAGTGCAGGACGTACAAGGTGTTTTCCTCGCCAGGCAGATCGAATCCCCGCGTGTCCCCAAGATCGGCTAGCGTTATGTTGGAATGATGGTTGTTCATCGGTTGTTTTATACAAAATTACGAAATGGTTTTCAATTGGTTATCAGATAATTCCTCGGACTTGCACTTCAAACCCATGAGATGTATGTTGTCGAGTAGGAAAATTTTGGTGAGCGATATCGTGTCTTCCACGGTCACAGTGACTCCATGCAGACTGGTGTAGGCGTTAACGTTCATCCGCACGTAAACGGAGCAAACTTGGTATTGTTGTTGTTTGGCCCAACGGAGTTTGATCCCTTTCACGATTTCGACGACGTTACGCGCCGACGGCTGTTCGCCGAGGTAGACTTAGATGTACAACGTGGATTTCGCTGCCAGATTTTCCAGGACGTTTACCACGCTGTCGAATTCCGACACCATCTGCAATCCCACGTTTTGCGTCCCGGGTTTGCTAGACAGCATGTGGGCTACTCTTTGCCTCAATGTGCTGACAATCACGCTGCGTCTTTGTCTAGGGACGTAAGCCACGAGCAGCATTCCGTTGTTCACGACTTTCATCAGGTAGTGATCTTTGTCGTCCGTGAATTGTGGGGAGAGTCGAGGGTGATGTTGAGATTCCAGTCGATTTTAGATGGCACTAATACCCATTTATTGTCGTCGTTGAAGATGAGAGTGTACTGCGTGTTTCTGGAGACGGCCGTGGTCTCGACATCGTCCAGGTGGAACAGCGTGCCGTGGAACGCTGGGGTTATAGTCCATTCGACCTCGCCGTTGCGGATCAAGTCGTACCAAGTGTTGTTGACCGCTAATTCGGTATCGATGAAATCGCCTAGGTCGTTGCTACCACCACCAGCGGCAGTAGAGGGCGGCAGCTCGAGACGTTTGTAAATGCTGTTTTTCAGTTGCAAGGCGTACAGTTTGCCGTCGACTCCGGGTTCGTCGAATCCGCGTGTGTCCCCGAGGTCGGAGATCGCTATGTTGGTGCATTTACTAACGTGTGTTCCTGGACCATGAGTCTCTGTCATTGCCGTATGTGCAGCATCGCGCTGAGATATCCTATACTTATTGCATCGTGTTTAACGTCTAAAACCGATATTTTCAAATCCGTGATGTTGCCTCGTATTAATTTCTTGTAATGCCGCGACAAAAACGATTCGGTTCTGCCGTCGTTGTACTTTTCCGTTTTCACCGGCACGGCTCTCAGCAGTCTGGAAGGTCGTTCGCCTTGAACGTTGTCCCGACGAAAAGAAAAACACACTAAAATTCTTCAACCACAAACATCAAATGCCCGTGCCCTACGTCATCTACGCCGACTTCGAAGCCCTCATCAAAACCATCGACACTGTCACACCGTCGTCCCCGGGGAAAAAGTTTCATGCATAAAACGCAAGAACACAAAGCCTTTGGGTTCGGTTACATGGTCGTTCTATCCGAACGGAAACGAACGCTCCCGTGTTCTGCCGAGGTCCCGACGTGGCCGAACGATTTCTCACGTGTTTGCAAAATGACGAGAAAATCATCAGGAAACAGTTGTCACCATCGTCCACATGCGTATGACCCATGACGACTGGCGAACTCATAAGAAAGCTAAGAATTGCCACATGTGCGACGAACCCCTGAATGGCCAGCATGTACACAGGTGCTGCTCACAACGCATGCAACTTGAAGCTCAAAAACAATCCCTAGACCATCAAAATGGTCTATCCCGCAGAACTACATGAATCGCACAACAGCTATCCGCTAGCTACCGAACGTTTGAAGGTGAACCCGGACTGGATGTCTGAATATCAACGAAACTTGCTGGGAAACAATAAGCTGGCTTACGTTGAAAAGCTCGTGCTGAACTTGATGAACAAGTCAAAATACGTCGTTCACTATTGCAATCTGGAGCTGTACTTGTCGCTGGGAATGAAACTCACGAAAATACACAGGGCGCTCCAGTTCGATCAAAGTCCATGGATGGAACCTTACATTCGATTGAACACGAATTTGCAAAAACAAGCCACGAGCGACTTCGAAAAAACTAGTACAAGCTCATGAACAACTCGGTGTTTGGCAAGACGACTGAGAATTTGAGAAAACGTGTTAACGTGAAATCAGTCGGAGACAGCGAGGAAGAAAAACTCAGGAAACTCATAGCCAGCACGGCGTTTAACCGAAGCAAGATATTCGACGACGACTTGGCAGCGCTGCACATGAACAAAAGCCACATCAAATTCAACCGGCCCGTTTACGTGGGGATAAGCATCCTCGACTTATCCAAACACTTGATGTACGATTTCTACTACAACGAGCTGAAAAAGCAGTACGTCGACAGGTGCGAAGTGCTGTACACGGACACAGATTCCCTGTTGATGGAAATGCACACCGAGGACGTGTACGAGGATATGAAGAAACACATGCACCTGTACGACATCAGCGACTGCCCTCATGATCATCCTATGCGCAGACAAGTCAACAAAAAAGTGCTCGGCAAGATGAAGGACGAATGCGCGGGCATGCCGATCGGATTGAGACCCGAGATGTATTCCATTAAGAAAGACGACGACGCTGAAATCCGAAAGTCGAAAGGCTTGAAAAAACACGTGGTGAAAAAACACATCAAAACACCAGATTCAAGGAAGCCCTGTTCAAGAATAAAACGTTCAAACACCAAATGAACATGCTGAGAAGCGATGGACACAGGATATACGGACTGAGAATCAACAAGACCTCGCTGTCTCCCATGGACACAAAACGATGGATCGCCATCGACGAAGTCAGCACTTACGCGTACGGGCACAAACGCATATCAAATAATTGAACGTTTACGCACACATGCATACATACGTCATGGAGAAAATTTATTACAGCCCGTGAGGGTACTGGAAAGGCACGGAAGAGAAAACCAAAGCCTGGCTTAAAAACAAGCCATCTGGCAAGTCTACCTGTCGGCACTGATACATCCCGAGAAGAAAATTCGACATTTCAACGCTAAATCGTGTCCACCAAGCCGACGTCCTAGACAGGGTGAGGTGCAAAACCTACAAGTACGCCCTGACCATTGTCAACGTCGCCAGTCGCTACAAGGAAGCAGAACCGTTGACAACGAAAGATTCGAACAAAGTCGCCAAAGCCTTTGAAAGCATGTACAAACGCAGTCGCTTGACATGGCCTACTGTATTGCAAGTTGATCCCGGACATGAGTTCATAGGAGCCGTGTTGCAGGTGCTGGCCAAGCACAAAGTCTAAGTGAGACGATGTATAACGGAAAGTTCGCCGTAGCCGAGCGCCTGTTCTCGCACCAATACTCGCAGGATTTAATGGATCCCGGAAACAGAAACACGGATTGGGTCGTACGCTTACCGCGAGTGGTGGATGTCATCAACAACAAAGTCACCAGACTCGTGGGCAAGAGACCCGTCGGAGCCATCAAAATGAAATCTGTCGAATCATCGTCGGCAGCAGCACGTCGCGATAAAGCAGAAAAAACATTACCGGACCGGGTCAGCGTTAGGTACTTCTACCAGCCGGGAGAATACGAGGGAGACAGGAGAAAACGTGCCACCGATCCGATATGGTCCATGAAAACGTACAACGTAGACCTTGTCGACATCAAAGACAGCGAACTGAAGTTGTACACATCACCCACGGTGTGATGATAGTTTCTCGTCATGATTTTTATCAGTCTTGCATACCTATTTTTCTGCTTAATGTAGCCAGCCAGCCAGCCAGCCACCCGTACACCATGCCGGGAGAGACACATGCACACGCACTGCGACTCATCCGCCCACAGCGCTCGGAGGAGCAACCACCCCCGAGGCGACCAGAGCCTTTTTCCCGACCGACCTCATGCTCACTTAAAAGTCAATATTTCAGAAACTATTCAACCGATTTTCATCAAATGTTGCATGCACCTCAGTAGTAGTATACACAATTGGTCTACGGGATTAGGGACTTCCCAAGGGCTCAATTAAATTGAGCCCTTGGGAGGGACCTGGTCCCGTAGCCCCATTGTGTATACTACTACCTGTTACTCACCCAGTTTGTGTAAACAAGTTTCCCGTTACTCGATGTGGCACAACAATACTGCCGACTCATGCACACATCCAAAGTATCCATAACATGGTACCGAGTATACGAACTGAAAACTTACAGGAAATCTTTAATTGATTTATTGGCCAATTTCCTCCAAAGACTCAGAACTTCCATGTTGTATCCACTTTAGTATGATAATTATCATTGCTTTGAGATTTTGCTCAGATAAAACATCACTTACCAGCGGAAAATACAATTAGAGTATTCGCTAGCTGGCCAGAAGACTTGAGAGCTGCGGTGACATTTCCGATCCCCTCATCCATACATGTGGACATGCCTGGAAGTTGAAAAAAAAAAATCAGGTAAGCAACAATATCTTACCCCTTCCGAAAAGATCTATAAGGTTAATATGCTTGTTTAGATATTCCACTTTATCCCTAACGCTCTCATTTCCACAGTGGTCTTCATTGCCGACTGTGTTCGTTTGCCAAAAGAGGCAACTCTGGTCATACTTTACAATTATGACAAGTAGACCTGTCTCCCTTAAATCAAGGTCGGAAAATGTTGATATTGATAATACTGATAGCAAATATGATATAAAACATTGTCAGTTGTGTACAGATAGGGCACCCAAGGATTTCATATGCTGTAGTCATGTATAGTTGCAAAGGTGAATTAAGGTTATTGTGTTGTTTAACGCCGCACTCACCAATATTCCAACCATATGGTGGCAGAATTAAGGGACATAATGTGGTATATAGTGACTATAGTGTTCTCTTGTCACGTTGATCACTTGGATTCATTATTTGTTTCGTCCCCACCATGGGTATAATGAGTGAATCCGTTTCTGGTGTCCCTTGCCATGATATAGCTGAAATATTGCTCTCGTAGCCAAGAACCAAAATCACACTGTGCGATTAGAAATGGGCTGACGATGTTATTAATTAAGAGTAATTATATTACCAGCAAAGGTTCGCCTTTTCGTGTCGTTGATGTGGCTGTACTGATTCATGTATTGGCTGGGGACCTGGAGGGGAGTGTGTGTAGATTGATACGCCAGGTACAAGAAGAATGGCTGCAAACAAACAACAAAATCATATATGACGAAACAAAAATCAGTGACTGAGTATGGTTGGTTTTATGCTGATTTTAGCAATATTATTCCAAGAACATCATGACATGGGACACCAGAAATTGGCTTCACACATTGTAGCCATGTGTGACAAGGTGCCTACATGCAGACTGTCACATTGATTTCAATATTTACAGTAACAACTACATGAAACATTCTCGAGGGAACGTGCACCTACCTTCGACTTGTCATGCTTCTGGATGATATCAATTGCCTTCTCCGTAAACAGATGCGTTGAATAGTGACCATTCTCGGTGAACACTGGCTTTGTATTGTTACGTAAGTCATTGCCACATAATGCGGCATTGCGATAGTCACAATGACTATGTGTGTAATAGTCCTCGGCGCCTGCCAGGTAGCCTGCAAATTATGACAATAAGGTATGTAAAGAGGTAACTGGAATTAAAAGCATGACTCATCTAAATACGAAAAATCTTTGAAATGTTTAGACAAATACTACGCATATGCCATTGGTAGCATAATCCTGTGTATTACTCCCTTCATTCTATGAGTCAGCGAGTTTAGTCTACGCTGCTTTCAACAATATTCCAGCAATATCACGGCGGACTACACCATGAATTGACTTCAAAGGTTGAACCCATGTGGGGAATCGAACCTGGGTCCCCGGCGTGACGTGAACGCTTGAACCAACCGGACATGTATATCACAGTTGTGGATTGGACCTAATGTATTCACTAACATACAAGATAGTAAAATAGTTATATTGAATGAAAATACCCGACCGAGGATGATAACACGTGAGTGAATTCTCACTGTCTCAGAAATCTCTCAGGCTGTTAATTTTTTAACTTTAAAATTTTGTCAGAATTGAAGATGAACATTTTCCTCAGAGAAAACAAAGATTAAGCCCTGTTCTGCATTGCATGAAATACTATCTCACACATGGTCTATGATATAATACTGCTCAGAATTTATTAATCCTCTTATTCCCGTAGGTCATAGACTTCAGTCTATGCAGTCTTTTGAGCATTTTTAGTCAAGTTTGCAAATCTGATGAATTTTTAGGCGGTTTGGAAAATATAATCCTTTGAGTATCATTAACACGCAAAGATTTGATAGAGTTTACTTCAAGATTTCGGGTAATGGCAGTTTTGTTTCCATATTTCGTTGATGCTATCAATAATTAAGATTGGTGGCTGCATTGGCAATATTGCAGCCGTTGAGTGATAACATCTATCTCCTATCAGCACCAACAGTTTAGGGACTTGAAAGTCCAGGGTACTTATTTTCAAAACGTTCGTATCCCTACGAACTTCTTAAGCCTATTCTTAACACATTGGCTACGATCAAAGTTAAGAATTTTTAGGGTTACGAACGTTTCGAAAATACGGGCCCCAGTTAGGATTGATCTGCAACAACCCAGGCTTGTTGTTAAAGGGTAATCAGGTTCGCTGACGTGGTTGACACAAGTCATCGTATCCCAATTGCATAGGTCGATGCTCATTGTTTCAGTGGGGGTTTCTCCAGTACAAAAGACACAATATAGACTTGGTACTTCATCGGTTTACTGTCATGCTTTTGTACAACCGGAACACGTGGACTGCGCCTCGCACATGCATGATGAGTCAAGCGTTATGCACTAACTTTCACGTTGTTGGGGGTGCTTATGACCACAATACATGCAGTTGTATTTGAGACTTGTGTTACCCTTGGGTTTGACTGAGTGTTTATGCACGGCGTGAACCTGAATGTCCTCTTTGGCACTCATAGCTCTAACTTGTGCTGCAGTAGATTCTGCTGCTCGACATATATTGATGCACTGTTTTAGCGTCAATTTGGATTGCTGGAGTAGCTTTCTTCTAGTAGCATTGTCATTGATTCCACAACCAATTCGATCTCTAATTAGATCATCTTGGAGATCACGAAAGTCACATGTGGAGGCCATGGTTCTCAGCTTGTTAGCATATGGATCTATGTTTTCACCCTCTTGTTGCTTATTAAAGGTGTATCTCTCATATATGACACACAGCACCAAAAACCGGATAGTAAACCATTGAAATAAACGTAAATACAGTAGGAAATATATGCCATGACCGGGTTTACGTATGTTTTCAGATATTTCCTAACTTCGGGCATATATTTCATATGAATCTATACCTTTGAAACATATGCTCATCATACATTTTCGTATGCACAAGCACCTCGTTCATGTATGCCCTGATCGGATTGTCAGGGATTTCCAAATATGAATTGCAAAACAGATAACCCGGTAAATACATGATCATACAGTATTTCCAATGCATTCCTTTAAATTTCAATGGGTGCTGAAATTTCCGATTTCGTTCTAAGTTTACTCGGGTTGGAAACATGTGAATTTACTTAGGTGGGAAAACACATGTAAATTTTCAAATTTGCAAATGTTTACACACCTTAGATATTTATGTATCATACCGGATTTCAGGGGTATGTCTATGAACGGTTCATACACCATCATGTTACCTGTACTCAAGCAAGATGATCATATGTTTCCATCATGTGAATTACTTGGCTCATGTAATTTCACTTTCACACATTTTAGTACGTTTGAAATCAACGTTCACATGACCTCAATATTCTTATCACCAAAGAGCCTGACAAAGAAAGCGGTATTACGCAAGCTAACACGCCTTATTAAGCTGCACTCGCTCTTGCTACCAGTATCAGTTACGCCTTGTCTGTGGTGTTGGCAAATCTTGTGAGGTGCATGTTTCGAGGGATTGAAAGGTTCAGTGGTGAACAAAGGGCGATGCGTTGCCCCTTTGTCCTCGCAAGTGTCCCTAGCTGCCCCAAAGAATAGCACTTGTCTCTCTTGAGCACAGTCAAATATGCTACACGAACCAACTCGTAATTTCTTAAGTCTGTTCAGCTCGCGCATCTACTGTAAAATATTTTTGTGGCAGTACATAATTGGAATATTATTGCACTGCATGTGACCTTCTTAATAGTCTCCACAGTGCCTGAACCATGTTATTTCTCCATTCGCTCAACCTGTGCTGTAATAACGCCATACATAAACTTTAAAGTTTGTTTCACTAACGCAAAAGTATACAATAAGAAACAATGCCATATCAAATTATATATTCTGTGAGAATGAAAAATTGTTTTTATCGAGTAGCGATTATGACCAGATAGCACAGGCGGGTGCGTTCTCTGAGTATATCATAGACATTTGGATCTCCGTGCCTTTTGTGAAATTCGTCTATATTGTCCTGTTTACATTGACGATCTATAACTGAGATTGCGAGTAAATATCACGTAAGTAATTGTGATGTCGCATTGCTGTAAATTTCCCTGTCGAAGAAGTCATTCTCACAAGATGTATGTTCTCTTGTTTTGGAAGATCTATGGCTATTATGCCCCAGTGTTGCTAAACATCGCATGTTCAAGTTCTGATCTGACAGGGGCTGAAAATATCATTCCGACATGAATACAATATCTCAGTGTTTTCCTAAGTAAGTGGAGATCTTTCTACAACATTGGAAATAACTGTATCATTGTCCTTCTGATATTCCCCTGAACGAAAGCTCTACCCATTTAGGGAATTACAAATGTGTAAGTTACAGAATTGTAGGGAATAGTCTTAAGACTTTTCTTTGACCAGGATTATTCGAACTTGTAACAGTCGTTTGAGAAGATCAAAGAGAAAAGGGTAGTGCGCGATGTATATGACGGACGTATATGGAGAGCGTTCGAAGAACTTTATAAATACAATAATAGAAATACCGGTTATGTTTAAAACGTACCTTCAATCTGATAGCCAGAGGGATTATTGTGAAAGATCGCAGTATGTATCATCATAAACGGGCCAAGATAAAAGTACATGACATTCATCTCACATTATATCCCTTTATAGACACGGGACATCGTTGTTTCAGGTAGGGCAAACACTTTCTTCTATAGGTATCTGCCGGTTTCACGCTACATGCATGTGTTCAGATTATCGAGAAAACTAGCGACGCAAGTTCTCCTCCATCACACCAGAGACCACATAATCTATCATATGGCCTTTGATCACACATATAATTGTAAAGATACCCAGTGTTTATTGATAGCGATGAAGCAACTTATCAAAATTTACAGCCGACAGTATCATCTGCATGACTCTCTTACATAAGGTGAAATATCACAGGGTTGTCATGGTAACGATAATTTGTCATACTATTTATTGTGTTATTCTTTAATCTGTGATTAGAATTTAAATCAGTTTTGACGTGAGCATGTTAAGAAAAGAGAAGCTGTAAAATGAAATGTATTGTGATCGAACCCTTAGGCCTTTGTAAAAGCGAGTTTCAAGCCACCTACATAAAAACCTGTTTTCATGATATATCTCGTGGCACGATTCCGACCATATCATGGGCATGATGGGCCGCGTCAACGACACATGCAAACAGGAGCGTAGCTACCATTATGAAAAAACAGCTCGAGCATACATGATCTTTGCTAAAAAATCATTTCTCTTCTAATTCTTGCCAAAAATACCTACAAACACGTTCCATTTAAAAGTGGAAATCCTCTATGTATCATACTGACTACAATATTCTTTGATTAAAGCATTACTTTGTACAGTAAACAGATTATTCTTCATATCATAGCTTTCAGTGATGATTGTTTTTCCATCGACATGTATGAGGATGTTTTGTTACAGTCATGATTATATGTGAATCATCACTGAAATGCAGTTGTTTATTTATCATTTGTTTATCAATTATTTTAGAAAAACACCAAAAATACTCGATGTATGGTTTTGTATCAATGCAGCTGACATGTACTTGAATGTACTTGAATTTCCTTACTTAAATTTTAACGATGAGGAAAACTTTCTTTGAGTGGCATTTTATATGTCTTTCAGTATGTTCAGATTAAATAACAAAACACGTTAAAACTCATCCTTATCGGATGAGGAATATATATTCAGGTGATATGATTTGACTAAAATGAAATTTAAGGGGATACAGGCGGAAGTCTTTCCACAATATTTTGAAGCTATTGAAATCATTAAACGTCAAACGATAACTCTTCAGGTCTCATAAAAATGAAAGTTGGGCAAGCCCTCAATACCACCTAAATATAAGGCTTTTGCAGCCCATAGGGCTTACGAAAAAATTGGCTTGCTACGTGCCTGGCAAACGCACGAGAATTGCAATACGGGCCTCTTACCACTGATTCTCCGTGACCTTGAGACACATGTGATTGAGCGTGTGTTGGGACGTCGTCTGTCATACAGACCCTGAAGCAAAATATATCAAAGCCCACGCAAGTCTACAAAATGTGGCAAGTCTAGATTTCCACAGCTTCAGGAGAAAGTCTCAGGGCTCCTTTTCCTTATATAATATTCTTTTTTACTATCAATTTTTTTTCTGTAAAATA